AATCATCGAGGGGCCCACATATATCGCTTTTATCCACATGGGGTAAAAGGAATGGATAAACCTCGAGTCAAATGCTTCCTTGTACTTACTCATCAAATCACACACAACAATATGTTTTATAACACCAAGTTACTGGTGCGTTTACATATGTCAATGCGCAACCGACTTGTAAACTACAACTCACATGTCTTTGTTTCAAGAATATAAGATATTATCGTCTCACAATCACTCGTAATAAAATCCATGAAGTGATTCAGATGAGCGTGTGTTTAATCCAATACTCGAATCTTATTCCAAGAGTACTCATGAGCACTGCAACAAACTTGTGCTGTGTCTAAAACACCTAGACAATCTACAGTCAGATTCATGACAGTCTTGCCTCAATACCTACTTCCAAAAGTATGATCGACTGTGGATAGTTTGAATAACCTAGTTATTCGGGAAGTGAAAACATGCAAAGTGAAACACAAGAATAATTGAATCCAATATGGTCTCAGAACTTATGAATATAAATAAAACACCTTTTTATTTAATCACCATATTGATTATACATTATTCATTGTATAATGTTTCGATTAATCAACTTAATACTTGAATTAAAACAATAGTTATCCCATGCTCCAAGCATGCACACTATGTTTACCTATGGTCCTTTCTTTGTGAAATAGATCAATTGAAAGCATTTCAATGACACTTATGTCACAATTCCAAATCCTTATCGTAAATGTAAGAATACCAAATCCTTGCCATTCACGATAATTTGTTATATTTTAAACTTATATGCAATGATCCTCTTGTAATGACTATGCACAAAGTCACAGAGATTTGGCAACAGACATTTCAAAGTATTCCAATGGAGACCAATTCCATGGAAACGAAGTCTCACATTCAAAGTACATTCCTTTAAACATCCTTTTTGCATTAAGTTTCCTAATCTTACACAAAATTTAAAGAATAACTTCCACTTATGGAAACATTTCCATATTCCCATTTTGACTATCACTTTTGAACAAGAATTACCACTTCTCAGAGTATGCCAACATGGTCCTTCCAAAATTTACATTATACTTCCAACTGTCCATAAGCAACCAATCTTTGGTAAACCTCAGATTGTCCTCGACAATTGCTTAACCACTTTAGTCATATACGATTCTATTCCTTTTTTTCCTCTTAATGCCCTAGACATTTGGAAAAATTAGAACACGAGAATATTATAGCATATGCAATCGATCCTATACCCGAAGCATATGAGACACGATTCATAATGTCTTACATAAAGACATGATACTTGATCAGTCTTTTGCTATAATATTTCTATTTGCCATGTTCTCACAATTCGAACTATGAAGAGGGATGTCGTAATCATAATCGAATTTGAGAACGGAATTAACATTTCGATATATATAGAATTTCCTTATGTTGAACATAGCATTCATATATATATATATATATATATATATATATATATATATATATATATATATATATATATTATATATATATATACTAGACGTTTACCCGCGCTAAGCGACGGATGCGAATAATTTCTTTCAAAAATTTGTTTCTAGAGGCGATTAGTTTTTCGCGCTTATAGCTTACTACATCTAAAGAATTATCAATAAGAATCATTCTAGCAAATAAGAAATCAGTAAGAATAGAAAATGAAGAGTTAAGATTGTTTACAAATGTATACGAACACATGATTAATTGTACATTATTAATCGTGCAACATTTCTTTATAGGCCACACACTCTATCATTAAATATCATCTATCAATAAAATATATCTATATTGTACGTTGTTATTTTGTATAAAAAATAGTATTTTGTTGGTTACAATAAAAAAAATAAAACTACATTATTGGTTTTTCGTTAAAAGTAAGCTTTTATATTGTTTTGAATTAAAAATAAAATTATGTTGATGTTTTACGTTTAAGATGTTCTTTATATTTGGTGATGAATCTGAAAGAAAAAAAAAGTGGTCGGTTGGTGGTGAAGATGGTTTGGATAAATGTTACGTTAAGTTGCTTTATTGGGTTAAAAATACATGTACTGGTAATTTTTTTTGTTTAAAAATGTAAGTATGTTTCTTATTAGGGTAAATGGAAAGTACGTCATAATTTTCGGTAAAAAAAAACATGTTGCTTTTTTAGGTTAAAAACATAAATACGTTGATCTTTTAGTTTAAAAATATAAGTATGTTATTATTTTCGATTAAAAATAAATATACTTTGCTGGTTTGGATTAAAATTAAATATGTTATGTTTTGTTAAAGATACAAGTATATTGTTGTCTTGGTTTGTCTTTAATCAGAAAACACTAAAAATGATAAATTTTATGTCGAAGGCCAAATACCCTGGATACATGAGTAATGAACTTTTCAGTCAACTAACAACATACTTTTTTACAATTAACAAATACTCAAAGTACACGATTTTATCAGTCATTTCTTATCTTTTCAAAATGATGCTCTCACGTTGATGAAATTGTAGACTTACCTTATTGTTTTAGAGCTTAATGTAAAATGTTTTGTGCAAGTTTTAGTTAAAAACTTAATTTATTTTAAAGCTAACAGTTTTTTAATAGAATAATAAGTATTGTTAAAAGATGCTAACGGAGATGGTATCAAAAGATGCAATTTGAAGTTAAAGATGTAATCTATTAAACTTATTTTTTATTTCTTGTTATATACTTTTAATAAAATGTAACTGTAAAAAAATTAAAAGTAAAAATTACATAGCAACAAAAGTTTAAAAACAAAAATAATCAAATTTAAAACAAAAATCATGTGGAGAAAAATGAGAATCTCGTTTGTGTTTTACTATGGGTCATAGTAAAAAATTCATGACTAAATTGCGACACTTCTCAAATGTAAAAAACCTTTTGATTCAAAAGAACTTATCAGAATAACCATTATTTTACATTAGCCAAACAATAAGCATTTCAAAACTATAAGTAAAATAGGTACTGAATGAAAAACATAAATCAAAAACACTACCCCTGTATCTTTTAGCAAAAGGCTAATCAAAGAAAACGGAACATAAAGGCAAATTGTTGCATCGTTTAGCAAACGGATGATAAATCATAAAACTGGAAAAAGAAAATGAAATTTCTAGCAGGGGAGGGAGGAGCATTTATGGGGTGTCCACCGATAACTCTATTATGTCATGTTGATACTGCTAGGGGGTAAACATCATAGAATTCTGCAGCTCATATTAGCTTCCCCAATCAAATCAAGATCATCGTTATTGAAATTAAAGGTCCAAACTTGAATAGGAAAAAAAAACATAAATTTAGCATGCAAACCCCAGATACATGCCAAGACCATTAATGTAAACATGAACAAATAAGATAGGTAGAAGAAATAGAAGTTGGAACTCATGGTGGACTTTGCAATCCACAAAACTTATACTACAAAAGATCAAATATATTTCAAGATATTCTTGTATAGCAAAGTAGGATGTACAAATAGTAAATACATGGAAGTCAAACAAGGTTTCTGGTGGTACTGAAAATTGAAAAATCTGCACTTCCATGGAAAAGTGCAACATGAGGTAATGGAGAAACATCATTCCCAACACTTAAATCCTCAATCAAGATTTCAAGACAAAAATGTTGCAAAGATTCATCCCCGTCCATCATACTGTCACCACATGCCAATATGTTAGTTACCAAAATAAACCAATTAAAAAAGCATTCAGGTCAAATAAATATTATTTAATACCATAAAAATATAGAGTGACGGAGGCCTCGCCTAAAAAAATGTCCATATAAAACCCCATCTACAGTTGCAAGGTCGTTTCAGAAATTGGGGATTGTTTTTCTTTCTCATGGACTCTACTCTAGTTACAACCAAAATGCATAATGCCTTTCCTTACATATTATCAAAAAAGACCATAATGCCCTTTTCTTATCCCCACACTCCATCTCTTGTTAACAAATTGCAACCCAATGGTAAAACCCCAACAACAAACCAAATTGGTCAAACCATTAGTTATTGTACCTAAGAATAATAAGACGAAAATACCCTTTCCCCTTATTGAACTTTTGACAGCACATCCTTCCATGGTAAACCCCCAACAACATTTTTCAACTGTTCAACCTCCTATAAAAGGAACTGAAAGTAGGGTAAAATAATAGACCAAAATGAAAAACAAAAAAATATTATAATTTAATAAAGTGACTGAGGTATGATGCTGTGATACAAAAAAAAAATGAAAAACATTTCATTTCTCCCATTCAAAAAGACCAATTAGAAATTTAAATAAGATAAAATCCAACATTGAATAATGAGAACTCTTTATATATCTATGTTTCCAAAGGCACTTATGTAAACTAAGTTTATTTGCCATAAACACATCCAACGACATATTTTAGCTATTGAACACCCTGCACTAATCTATTGTCATTTACATTGAGTTGAGGGGGAAAAACTAAAAGATATTTTCCCAACAGAGAATTCCCAAATGGTGACTACATTGTGGCAAAATAATAAGGAAACTAAGTTGTTAGTTATTACATACATGTCTACAGAAAGGAATGCAAAGACATTTTTTTAGCTTTATTACGGCTACATTAAACATTGATGGTTGATCTATTTCCAGATACTATTTTCTTCCAATCTATGTCTTAAAATCTTCATGGATGACTTTTCACAAACAATTAATAGACAAATTTAAAGACCATGATTTAAAGATGAACAAATTTGTAACAATGAATCCAAAACGAATCAGATGCAAAAGATGAAAAATGAACATATTCCAAATAATTGAAATAGAAGTTGTTGAATCAGAGATCTTACCTAGATCTAGGCAGATAAGGCGAATCTGTCGAAATAGAAGCTTAGGAAGTCAAAAAAAACATGTGAAATCACAGGTAAGAATAAAAAAAACACACGTATGAGCAAAAAATAAGCACTAAAATGAAGAAAAAAAATACCTAATCGCATGTTGGTTTAGGGTTTGATCAAACTTTTTTCGAATCGATACTTTTTCCCCGAAATCACCATGAATGAATGACACTGTCCCCCTTTTTCTCCAATCGATACCCTTTTCCAATCGATACTCTTTTACATACCTACATGATGGTGAGAAAGTGATAGAGACGGAGTGGTGGTGGTAGTGATGGTGGTGTAGCTGCTCAACTTTTCCATCTAAGGTACTCAAATGGATATGCAGAGTAGGAAGACAGTTGTAAGGAAGAAGATAAAGGGGGAAAGAAAAAAACCTGACTTACCAGTAGTGTAGTTGTGACGACGACAAAGGTGGTGGTTGGAAGACTTTGCGATCGTTGAATTAATAGGGGTACTTGGTAGCGGAGAAGTTGAAGTATCTAGGGTTTATGGTGATTTTTTTTACAGAAGATGAGGGATGGCAGCGTGGTGATGGATTTTAGGGTTTTTTAGAGAGCGATGGTGACGGTGAGAGGTTGAAGGCAACACCATCTTAACCGAATTGAGAGAGGAGATGCCTTATAAATTGTATTTTTGTTGACCGATTCAATCGGCTGAACATAAGGAAATACAAATTCAATTTGACTGATTCTGTTTTGATAAATTGTTTTGATTTTATTGACCAAATAAGATTTGAATGCTTAAAGTTATTGTACATAATGTAGTAATAGCTTGTACCTCTTAAAATTCAGCATTTTGGGCTAAATGCTTATTAAGTAATAAAGATATATATTATATATATATCTATATATATATAATCTATATATATATATATATATATCCTTTGACTAAATTTGATTAAAGAATCTCAATCTAAGCTTTTAGAATTGAAATGAAGTATGAATTCCTCTCCCTTAGTTATAGCAAAACAACTTTTCAACCCCTGCATCTTTGCAAATTGAAACCTTTTGTTTTTCTATAATTAATATTGCTAACTTGCAACACTTACCATAATAATTATGCTCCCACTAGCATAATAATTACATTCTTATTAGCATAACACTTATGCTCCCACTAGCTTTGACATGTACTCAGAAATCAGCTGAACTTCCAAAAATCAATACTAATTGACTTTCTTACCAAAGTTCAGATTTCTGATACGAGATGCTTCGATAAGACTTTATCTAGGCTTCTCAAAATCATACACCTTTCCTTAGATAGCTCACATGTGTGTCTTAACAATTTTAGAACTTACAGGAATAAGTCTCAAACGTTTAGAACTTTGTCATTTCTCACAATTCGAACTATGAAGAGGGATGCCGTAATCATAATCGATTTTGAGAATGCAAATATCACAATTGCTATCTCCTTAAAATCTACTTAGTGAAAGCGTTTCCTCGCAATCATTTTCATGAATTGGAGAGAAAACTTATGACACTTAGATTTTATGGTATATATGTTCCTGTCCATGTGAATTTGTCAAAACCATAATCACAAGACAAGGTTAGTGACAAATCCAAACTCATATGGACTGAACTTGTTCATTCTTAATTTTTTGCCACTTGGCAGTACAAGGGCCTACCATTGCTTCTAAGTAGTTATGCAAACAACTGAGAACTCATAGAACTCACGTGCATAGTCAACTTTAATTGGAATGGGCATAGAAACAAGAATATGTCAACACGATAGGTTACCAACCTCAAGTCGTGTGCTAGTGATTAACGATAGGTTTACTCTTGATTAGTTCTTGAAACTATTCAAGATCATTAAGACTCCCACTGACTTCTTGACATATAAGATTCACTTTGTCAAGGAATATTACTTGACAAACAAATAATCAAGAGTTAGTGCGGTCTCTTATCAAGACAAACACTTCACACAATTGCCCTTAGTTGGTCTTTGTTTTATCCAAAACATCAGAACTTATCAATTTCAAATGTACAAGAGTAGAAAACATTTTACTCTACATTTGGTGTTATAAACATTTCTTAAGATTATGTCACTCAAGGCTCAGTCTTGGAGTGTGACTCTAATATTTGATTTTGAAATGAAGTATGATTCATCTTTTGATTTAACCATTTCAACAATTCACGATTCCTCTTCTTAGCCATACAAATGCACTAAGATGTCCTTAGAGGATCAATTATGATATGGTTTCATAATCACTAAGATGATCATAAAACATGATACTCAAGTACTCTCCCATCCTTTCAGATTGGAGAAACTTTTATCATTCTGCCTAATTTGATTCTTCTTAGTCGTCCTGCCATACATTGAAACCTTTCCAATGTTCAGAATTATACTTAAACTTGTAAGCATAACCATATTTACTAAACTTTAGTAAATCATGACAAATAGTCTTATCATTCTTTATGGTGGACCAGACCAGCGCACACCCAGTGTACCCGATCCCTTAGTCCTTCACTTGACTCACATATTCATGTGAACAAAGAATTAGTCTTAATTTCCCAAAGACGAAAATTCTCATTCATCATACAATACCAGTTGCATGATTCCAAGTTTCTGTCCAATTGAAACCCGGGTGATGAGAATCTTTCCTTATTTGGTAAATTTTGACACTACCACAAACGAAAGAATCAAATCCATTTTCCCAATATTGCTAGAAACATACAAACATAAATTTTTTCACAAATGCCATTGTAAGGAGATATAATATAAGATAAAATCAACAAAATTTTTATTTATTTATAAAATGCGGAAAAAACCTTTCCTTACAATGCAATTACATATGAAAACTATGTTGTTATCTATTCCTAAACAATCTATCATAACTCTTAAGCAACAGCTCAAAATTTTGATCATCGAATCAGGCGATCAAAATCCATCTCTTCGCGATCAGATTCAGCTTACTCTTCCTTTAAGCTTCCTTTTGTTTCTTCGATCCTACAAAACATCAAAATGCAACCTTGTCACATCATGTATTAAGAATCAACAATTAGGAAATTAATAGAGTTAGATAGTGGAATTACCTGAAGTAGAGTCAAACCTTTTTGACTTTACCTTGTCTTAGATCCTTCAGGTAGTCAGGGTAGCTTCACTTCCAATTTCCCTTCAAATGGCAGCAGAAACAAGTGGACTCTTTGGCATTTGCACATGGAACTATCTCAGAACTGGCTTTTATCTTATGGTCAAATCTTTTGACCATAGCCAATTCCCTTCCCATAGGAGAAGGGATCTTTTCTGGACTATCTATGTCATTGCCTATGTCCATGGCAGCTTGAGAAGTAGATCCTCCAATCAACATTTCTTGACCATTGCACCAAATCATTGCTAATTCAGCAGCAATAAGCAAATATGCAAGACAGATAAGGGTCATGTCGTGATCTGTCATATAGTAGTCTTTTACAAACTGACTATACGACTCGGGAAGTGACTGAAGAACCCAGTCAACAGCCAACTTCCTCGGGAAGACGACGCCCAACATTCCCAGCCTGTTAATGTGTGACTTCATATCCAAGACATGTGCACACACGGACCTTCCATCTTGGTGTTTGCTAGCCAATAGGGCTTGAGTTGACCTTGAACTTTTCAAGTCTTCGAACTTGTGGGTCAGGGAGAATTATTGGAGGAGGTGGAGGAAGTGAAGTATGATATTGTGGAATATTATTATCATGTGGAAAGCTTTTTCCAAAAGATTTTGGGAAGACCATAGTTGTCTAAACTAGACATCTACAAGGGAGAAATTCAAGTTAGTTGATTTAAGTCCTTAATATAACACCCAAATGAAATATTAAGGCTAGGACCCAACACAATATTTTACAATTCAGAAGAGGGATGCCGTAATCCAATTGCAAAATATTTGAAGGGAGGTAAAAGACGATTTACCAATTTCCACCATGAAAAACGAAATTGATTATTAAGTTTTAATCGGATTGAAATTCCTAGATCCTTTGAGGTTCATTGAACTTTTCAATGACATGTTTAAATCTTGATTGTGACCTTCAAGTTTGTGACTGGGATACCGAGGATCACAAACAAGGTGTGAATAACCATGCAAATTAGCTTTGTACACCCAATGCTACAAATCACCTAATCAATGTGTCGGTTAACCACACACGCTCCATTGATCTATGATTAACATTAAGCTACCCTTTGCCACACACTGTCAGTCCCAGATTAGTGTGTCGGTTAACCACACACGCTCCACTAACGACGTAACAAGGTGCAAAGTGCAATTTCGTGGGATATCACCATATTCACGTTTTCCTAAAGTAACTAAGTTGGGAATTTAATAAAAGTTTATTTACTTTATAATTATCACTATACTTTTAATGAAAATTATGTCCTATGCAACTCGTTCGGCTAACGACCGCCCACCAGTCAAGGAAGCGGTGGGTGAGAGTGGACACCCATTAAATTGCCATTTTATAGGCAGTAACCTTATACCCCCCTTAGAGACTGACTTCGTGAATGAGGCCTACTAATGGTAAGACTGACTTGTTATACATATATATATATATATATATATATATATATATATATATATATATATATATATATATATATACATCTTAGGTTATTCTAGTCAAAGTAATTATTGTGTTATTGTATGCATAAATGTGAACCATTAAATTTTACTTATTTTAAGAAAGTGAATAATACATATTATTAAATTAAAGATAATTAGAAAATACCATCTAATTTCATTTTAAGGGTATTTTAGTCAATTAACATAAATTTAAAAAAGGAAAATTGCATATTTTAAGGGATAATAGAGTCTATTAATTTTAAAAATCTGATTGTAGTGATAATAATTCTCGGATATTCTGACAGAATATATTTATCAAAAATAAAAATATTCTTGAACTATAAAATAATAAAAATATTTTTTGAACCTATTTCTTGATCATAACTTTAAAAACTTCTTGGAGAATAACAAATCATTGAACCATCAATTGAAGAATAAAAACAAAAATTACATTAATTCTGATAGAATACGGGTAACAATTGCTAAGAATTACATTTATTGTTAAAGAATAAAACTAAAAACACTTTCAAATAGGGAAAAAAACATCAAAATCTAACAAAGACACTAATACATTCTAAAAGAATAATGTTGCTAAGAATCACTCTCAATTTCATGGTTCATTCTTCAAGCATCAGCTGCTTCTGTGGAAACAAATCCAATGCATAAATCAGTGAGAAAATATCCATATTCCATTCTAACAGAATTGGAATTCGTGATTCCATTCTGATAGAATTGGAATTCAAGATTCAGTTACGGTATGCATTCTGTTGGAAAAATATCCAAAGTAAAAAACAATTTAATGAGAATGATATTGCATCTCTCACATCAACAAGTCTATAAATTCCATCTGGAAATATTTCCTTTCCTACATATTATAAAGATTTGAGCATGCACTAAATTAATTATACAAATCCGATGAATTGATTTTTAGTTGTAGTAGACAATTACCAGTTACAATCAATCCTATAACCCACTCAGAAGTGGTGTTGAGAGTTGGCTGTAAGAGAGGACCAATGACAAACCCAGGATTTATAACCACCAATCTGATGAAACCGAAAGCAATACATAAGGCTTTTGTTATCGAGTACCTGTCATCAATGAAAACAAGATTGACATCTGGTGATTTCATTGTTAAGGCTTAACAAAAAAGACTGGAATGTTGGGTAACAGGGTTAGCTTTTTAAGAAGAAGGTCATTTGTATCTGCATAATATTGGTCTATTGTACATATTTAGCAACTTGCTTGAGATGTAACAAATATTTTATCAAGTACAATTGAGTAATTAGATCAGTATTATCAACAGTAACAGAAGTATTTAACTGGTGGATTTAAAGAATGATGGTTAATTGGTTAGTAATTAACAGCACAGACATCCTGATTGCTAACCCTAGATTACGTTGCAAATCAACAGTCCAGTTCGTCTTGCTATCAATTTGCGTGTGTTGTTGGGTTGTTGATCCCTAAATTCATTACGTGATCCTATTTGATCTAATATCTAAATCTAAAGTAACTAAATCAGTTGATCGCTGAGTTAATATTGCAATTGAAATCAGGAATTAGAAAATCGAATTTAGAGTAGAAACAGTAATTACCAAAACTTAAACTCGGGAAGACGACGAAAAAAAGGGCAAAACTCGTCGGAGCTCCGAGAGGGAAGAGTAGGGCCATCGAAAAGGTCTTGGAATTCCGGATCAACCTGAGGAGATAGAAATCCTATGAGGAGATTAAGGATGTATATCCCGAGTGCACTGAAGAATGTCAAAACGAAAGCAATGCAGAAGAATCGAGGATTTATAACCAACATCTGGAAATATTTCCTTTCCTACATATTATAAACATTTTGTTGATGAACAATCTGATTAATTACTTACAAAATTAACCGACTACTCAGATTACCAGGTAAATGGGGCGAAGGAGAAGAAGGAGGGGTTTCTAGCACCCTGTCTTGAAGGGAAAGAAGAAGATCGAGATCATCACCGTGTGTTGACATGATGGATTCAATGGATTGTCTGATTCATCTGGTTCAAACGAAGAAGGCACTGGTAGCAGCAATAGCGTCGCAGCAGGTAACAGAGGCGGGCACTCATCGAGCCCGGAAGGAAAACGTCAACGAATGATCTTGTTCACTTTAGGTGGTTTTAAAAAGCCGATGGATGGAGAAAACCTAGGTATGGTTGCCATAATTATAGGATATTATTTGTGGAAACTAATTATCAAATTACCTATTTACCCATATTTATTTATTTAATTATTTGTTTTTGTTTTAAATTTTAATTGTCCCACATTTATGCATACAATAACACAATACTTACTTTAAACAAATGAACCTATCACTCTCTCTCTCTCTCTCTCTCTCTCTATATATATATATATATATATATATATATATATATATATATATATATAATTATTAAACTTATAATAATATAATAGTATAAGGGTTGAATTTTAACTTTTAAAACTCTAGAGTTTGGAATTAAAGTATTAAAAAAATGAGACTTTACAAATTCCAAAAACTTGAGGGCAAGTTTTGAAACTTGTCAAAACTTTTGGTTTCCATAACTTATGAGTTTAATGTCGTTTTTATTAAAAATTTTACAAGTTCCATAACTTGAGGACAAGTTATGGAAGACTTTAAAACCATTTAAGATCACTTTTAAAAATGAGACTTTTCATTTTCCATAACTTGAGGACAAGTTATGGATTTCATTAAAATCATTTAGATCAAATATTCTAACTAACAAAATCAAACAATTTGTCTATGATCTAGTTAAACTCATAAGTTAAGATAGTTCATATCAACAATTTACAAGAAGATTAGCTTATCATTTAAGCTCATAATTCTCTTAAAATTTTGACAATTATCTTTTCATTGGATGAGAATCATCATTACCATATCAACAAAATCAAATTTTATGAACTAAAACATTTTGATGTAATGATCCTAATCCAAAACAGGCCAAAAAAAACTCGAAATTTTGCATACAGGGGCACCAACTCGGCGAGTACATGAACTGGACTCGTTGAGTTGGTCCGTTACTGGTTGGACTCGTCGAGTCAGCCAGTGGACTCGGCGAGTTCACCAGTCAGAATGCAGAAAAACGATTTTTCCAACTTTGAAAATTAAGCCATGCAACAAATATAATAGAAAACAATCCTAGGCTCTGATACCACTGTTGGGTTTTGTATACTACAACATCCTATGGTGGACATACAACCCTAAATGCTTTGGATCTATGTTTTCTCTAATTTTACATGCAATACTGTTTCCAAAGCAAAGCCTTACAATTGACATAAACAACATAAAATACTAGTTAGGAGTTTACCTCTTTATGTAGCTTGTAGAACTTGTTGTATTTGGCCTTTAAGAACTTAGTGCCCCAAAATGTTGCACCTCAAATGGTTCACAACACACCTTAGACAAAGGATGACTTTTGAGAGAGTTTATGCACACTAAAATCGGTTATGACTCTCCAAGAACACTCTACCAAAACTTGTGCAACCAATTTTAGGCTATAGGGTGTCATATATATAGTGTAGGAATCCAAGAGTCATGGGTAAATCCTAATCCATACACTTGGGCTTATTATCCATGATCCATGATTCAAGTGGGCTAACTCTTTATGGATTCATCCATAAACTTAGTCCATCATGTATCATAAGCCCAAACCATATATATATATATATATATATATATATATATATATATATATATATATATATATATATATATATATATATATAACTAATTTACATAATTAGCCCCTATTAATTTAATTAGTCTCTTTTGATCACTACATTAATTCCAAATTAATTCTTGATCAATACTAATTAAATCATATGATTTCATATTAATATATTAGAACTTATAATATATTAATAAATCATAACTAACCTCTTCTCAAAAGTCCATCCTATCAAATTGTCGTGGTGATATGCAACCCAAATGGACCATGCTACTCTCGGGTCAAGTACATACCAATTATAGTCATGGGCTTAGACACCTAATCCAACAACTGTCTTGTGTCAATTATTTACTATTGTTTCATTTTGAATGTTTTGAATTCCTAAATAATAAGATTATTTAAACTATCCACATTCGATCATACGTTGGAAGTAAGTATGAATGAAGACTGTCATGAATTGGCTTGTAGATTGTCTAAGCGTTTAGACATAGCAAAGGTTTGATGCAACGTTCATGAGTGCTCCTGAAATATGATTTGAGTATTGGATTAAACCCCCGCTCACATGAATCACTTCATGGAATTTAATCACGAGTGATTGTGAGACGATAATATCATATAGTCTATAAACCTAGGTATATGAGTTGTCGTTTTCGAGTTGGTTGTGCATTGATAATGCGTAAACACATCAGTAAATTGATGTTATAAAACGTATTGTTGTGTACAATTTGATGAGTAAATAGTACAAGAATATAAGTCTAAGTTTATCTATTCCTTTTATCCTACGAGGTTAAAAGCGATATCTTGGGCCCCTCGATGATTTTGTTTTCACTTATGTGACGGGCCCAGTCAGGACTAAGTTGATGTGCTCAATTAAGTTCTATGTCAGACAAATCAGATATCGAGAAACAAACTACTAGACAATAAGTATGACTATGTTCCATGTATTTGTCCACACGATATATTGAGAACGGAGGACTATACGATCCCTTATCTAAAGGACGTGTCAAACTTCGACAGCGGCTTTTGAGAGTTACGATTGCTAATCAGATTTTGAAGTCGTACTTGCATTTATATTTATTAGACTTATATAAGTGGGAGACTGTTGGATTAGGTGTCTAAGCCCATAACTATATTTGGTATGCACTTAACTCGGTTGCAACATGATCCTTTTGGGTTGCCTTCACCAAAGCAACTTGACTGGAAGAATAATGGAGAAAGAGGATAAAATTGATTTATTAATATATTATATGAATAATATATTAAAAGAGAAATCATATTATTTAATTAACATTTGTCAAGAATTAATTTAGAATTAATTTTGTGGTTAAAAGAGCTTAATTGAGTTAAGGGGACTAATATTGTAATTATCAGATAATTGCAAAATGGCATGAGGATCCCTAAAGATAGGGGTGGAAGAAATCTTCTGGACAGCCCATAAGAATTCGACCAAGGCTAGGGTTCTGGAAGATTCCTATGGGCTGCTTGGAGCCTAAGCAACCGGATTAGGTCTGTGACTGAAACCCTAATACCTCACCTATATAAAGACCCCCCTAGCATCACATTTTTGGCTACCACAACCCTAGAAGGATTCCTAGAGCCGAAAATAGCCTTTCCCCTCTCTCTAATATTCTCCAATTTATGTGGTGTTTGTGATCTATTAGAGGCATCGCATTTGAGGTGCTAGGTTCTCAAAATCTCAAGGTTATCATGGTACAATCAAAGGTAACATTCTTACTTGTTATTTATGTTGATTTCGATTTTGGTATGCTAGATTTAGGGTTTACTAGCTTTGGATGATTATTGCATGTACAATTAGAAAAACCCAGATCCAAAGCTTTAGGGTTTGCATGTGCACCATAAGATTGATGTTTTGCTCATAACCCAACACTTACTTCTCCTATCTCTATCTCTCTTCAATCCCCTCATGTACTCCTTAATCTTAATCCCTCATGGATTATCTCTAAGTTCTTACAAAGAACTCTCTTATCTTGTTCCTCTTAAGGAACCTTGTCTCTATCTTTTATAATCATACTCAATTTCGATTCCAACAGGAACCATCTATTTACATCCACACAAGAATAATCATCTATCTACATCCCAAAAGCGATCATCATCTTTTCCCCTCAGGGATATAATCCCATTACCGAAGGAATCATACTCTTGTCCATGAAGGAACCTCTATCTCATTCCCGAAGGATTCACCTATCTAATAGCTCTATCTCTATTATGTGACTCATCACAAAATATTTGTCACATGGACAATCTATCTCTTTATCTCATTAAGAGATCTTCTAGTTCTCATCTAGTACTTAACTCATTAAGTACTTAATCTTTATCCATGGCTAATAACATATAGTTATTCTATAAAATACCATTTAATGTCTAGACATACATATATACTCTTATGATTATACTACAAATAATCGTCTTCTCCCACTTTCTACTATCTATTAGGTATTAGCAAATACCCTTTCTCATCTACTTAACATACTCGAGGTATATTTACATGCTCTACTACATGTTTCTAACATATACGTCATACATACTCTAAATATACGTACATGCTCTGATACATGCTCTTACATGTATAATCATCATCTATCTTTATCTTATCACTTGGGAACATTCACTTAGTGCCCAAAGATTCAACACACATGCACATACACACACATGTATATATATATATATATATATATATATATATATATATATATATATATATATAGGGAAATGATCAAATGAGAACACCTAAAAGGTTGAGAACGCGAGAACTAGTATATTCATTTGTGATTACATGTATTCATTTGTGGAGAAATGATAATTTTTTACGCACAATCAACATGAATATGCTTTTTCTCTTCAATTGAAATTAAAGGCGTAAAAATTTATCATTTCTCCACAAATGAATACATGGAATCACAAATGAATATACTTTGTTCTCGCGTTCTCAACCTTTTTGGTGTTCTCATTTGATCCTATTCCTATACATATATATATATATATAATTTAAAGAGAGCGTGTGAGAAATATAACTCACCTTATCAGTTAATAAAGAATAATTGTCCCACTTTCTTCAATTTTGTCATTAATGCACCATATCAATGTTCTTTGTGTTGGATTAGGTGTCTAAGCCCATAACTATTTTTGGTATGTACTTGATTTGATTATAAGCATGGTCCTTTTGGGTTGCCTTCACTCATGCAACTTGATAGGATGACAAGAGGAGAGAGAGTAGGATTTATTATATGAATAATAAATTAATACTCAAAATGGTTTTATTAATATATATTACAAGATTAATATA